ATTACTGAAATTAATTAAAAAAATGAATAATTATAAATTTACACACATTTACACAAGTAACTAAATAGACTCAATGATTGGCTAAATATCTGCGAATTTCCGCGCACACAGATTCCGTGTGGGCCTACTGATAAGCTGCGTCTGAGGTTACTGTAAGTCAAACTATGCATCTAATTTGACTACTTTTAGGCTATATGTAGAAATAAACAGCTATTTTATGTGAGAATAGTTATCTATCGGTGCTCTATATTTGCTGGATTCAGACTTTTAAATGATTGGCGTGATTATGCATTCACAGTGGTATGAACCATTGGGTGGTCAAATGTACAGTTGAAGTCAGAATTATTAGCCCTCCTTTGAATTTTTTTTCATGAAGAAAAAAACAGAGCAAGGAAATTTTCACAGTATGTCTGATAATATTTTTTCTTCTGAAGAAAGTCTTGTTTTATTTCGCCTAGTATAAAAGCCGATTTTATATTTTTATTAAAACCATTTTAAGGTCAATATTATTAGCCCCCTTTAAGTTATTTTTTTTTTCTCGATAGTCTACAGAACAAACCATCATTATACAATAACTTGCCTTATTACCTGTCTAGTTAACCTAATTAACCCAGATAAGACTTTACATGTCTTGAAGAATATCTAGTATAATATTATTTACTGTCATCATGACAAAGATAAAATAAATCAGTTATTAAAAATGAGTTATTAAAACTATTATGATTAGAAATGTGTTGAAAAATATCTGCTCTCCGTTAAACAGAAATTGGGGAAAAAATAATTCAGGGGGGCTATTAAATTTGACTAACTATATATATATATAATAACAATAATAGTAATATAATAATTTGCTCTGCTTTGTATTTTAAATCATAATGTTGACCAATAAAATTGATATAAAAAATTTAATTAATTATATATATATAATTACATTTTTATATCAATTTTAATGATCAACAATATAATTTAAAATACAAAGCAGAGCAAATTATTTCTCAGTATTAAAGAGCTGACGTCCTATTAGATGTTGTTTTGATGTCCTTCAGGGGGGATCAAGCATTAATTAGGGGGGTCAATCCCCCAAATCCCCCAGTAATTCACACCCTGGGTCTATTTAGTGTTTTTTTTTAATTGTTATATATATATTTTTTCTATCTGTACTGTTATTTTCTCTTTCACTCGTTTGTTTAACTGTCATATAAATCTCATAATTTTTATAAATATATAAAAACATACACAAGTATACACAACAACTCACTGAGCAACACTGTTAACATTCTTTCATATTTTCCTTTGGCTTAGTCTCTGTTTTTAGAGATTAGTCAGCTAATCCAGCATATGTTTTTAAGCAACGAATGCCCTTCCAGCTGCAACCCAGTATTGGGAAACACCCATACACTCATTCACTCACACACTACTGCCAATTTAGTTTATTCAATTCACCTAAAGCGCATGTGTTTGGACTGTGGGGGAAACTGGAGCACCCGGAGGAAACCTACGCCAACATGGGGAGAACATGCAAACTCCACACAGAAATGGCAACTGGCCCAGCCGGGACTCAAAGCAGTGACCTTCTTGTTGTGAGGCGACAGTGCTAACCACTGAGCCACTATGCCGCCCCCTCACTGTTTACACCTCCTTGTAATTTAGCTGTCCAAATCTGAAAACCTCTCTCTGAACTTATTCCTACTTTGGAGTAATGCGTTCTGGGAGCCGCCGGGTCAGACTGAGGTATAAATAAGTCATGTTTTTGCAGAGTTTGCACATAAACACAAAGGTTTCATATCTAGCAGCTGTAAATGAAGACACTACATAATGTGCAATATTGTTTCACGACTAAACATATTTTCATTTAGAGTTGAAGTTAGAATTATTCGCCCTCCTGTGATTTGTTTAATTTATTTTTTAAATATTTATGTTTAAGACAGCAAGGAATTTTTTATAGTATTTTCCATAATATTTTTTCTTCTAGAGAAAGTCTTATTTGTTTTATTTCGGCTAGAATAAAAGCAGTTTTTAATTTTTTAAATCCATTTTAAGGTCAATATTATTATTAATAAACCATCTTTGTACAATGACTAGCCTAATTAACCTAGTTAAGCTTTTAAATGTCACTTTAAGCTGAATACTAGTGCCTTGAAAAATATCTAGTCAAATAATATTTACTGTCATCATGGGAAAGATTAAATAAATCAGTTATTAGAAATGAGTTAATTAAACTATTATGATAGAAATGAATTGAAAAAAATCTCTCCATTTTTCTTTTTCATTTACTTTTTTTTTCATTTTTCTTTTCTTTTTTGGTCTCTTCTTTGAGTCTCGGTTTCCAAGGTTTCCTTTTTTACTGAAGGAATATTTCCTTTTCTTCTCTGCTAATGGCTGAAGAGACGAAGACAAATCGGGCGCAATAGAAATATCTGTATTGAAAAGACAAGTGAAGCGGAATCAAATAAAGTGAAATTTAGCTACATTCAGTGTCAAACGCAATAGTGAAGTTGATCTGGAGTGATCTAAATGGAATCAAATTAAATTTAAATAAATCTATACAGGGCGGCATGGTGGCTCAGTGGTTAGCACTGTCGCATTACAGCAAGAAGGTTGCTGGTTCGAGTCCCGGCTGGGTCAGTTGGCATTTCTGTGTGGAGTTTGCATGTTCTCCCCGTGTTGGCGTGGGTTTCTTCCAGGTTCTCCGGTTTCCCCCACAAGTCCAAACACATGTGCTATAGGGGAATTGGATAAACTAAATTGGCTGTAGTGTATGTGTGTGAATGTGAGAGTGTATTGGTGTTTCCCAGTACTGGGTTGTGTCTGGAAGGGCATCCACTGCGTAAAACATATTCTAGATAAGTTGGCGGTTCATTCTGCTGTGGCAACCTCTGTAAAATAAGGGACTAAGCTGAAGGAAAATGAATGAATTAAATTGATTTCATTAAAAGTCAAATGTATTTTGATCAGAAACTAGAGTAAAAAAGATGTTCTGCACACATCCTTGGATTAAAAAAAACATAATTGTTATTATTTTAATAATAATTGGTGGTTATTTCTGTTGAGCAAGGGTGTATTAACATGATCAAAGTTAAAATATTTAATGTTGAGAACTTTCTTTGCATATTTTTTTGTGTTTTCCACTAAAAATTGAAGCAGCACAACTGTTTCCAACATTACTTTCAATAATAAGAAATATCGCTCAGCCAGCTAGCTCTCTGCAACTCTCACATGGTCGCCCACTGAAGCTAAGCAGGGCTGCGCCCGGTCAGTGCCTGGACCACATGGAGAAACTAGGTTGCTGCCAGAAGTGGTGTTGGTGAGGCCAGCAGGTGGCGCTCAAGCTGAGATCTGAGTCCTAACACCCCAGTATAGTGAAGGGGACTCTATACTGCTTAGTGAGCGCCGTCTTTCGGATGAGACGTCCTGACTCTCTGGTCGTTAAAAATCCCAGGATGTCCTTCAAAAAAGCCGGGGTTTAACCCTGGCTAAATTTGCCCACTGCTCTCTGGCCATCATGCCCTCCTCACCATCCCAATTAGCTTAATCACTCTGTCTCCTCTCCACCAATCAGCTGGTGTGTGGTCTGGCGTAATATGGCTGCCATCGCGTCATCCAGGTGGATGCTGCACAGTGGTGGAGGATAGGAGATTCCCCCCAAAAACGTGTAGAGTTTTAAGTGTCAAAAAGTGCGCTATATAGATGTTATGAATTGTTATTATTACCCAAAGTAATGATAATAGCAAAAATAAATGTCATTTAAAAATACAAATATTCTCATTTTTAAATACCAGCTTATTATCGGTTCCCTGAATTTGGATAAATATGTATGTGCTTTGAAAAGATAAATGAATTTGTGCTAATCTTATAAACTACAAGTAACAGAATGTCTTCAAAATTTCAAGAATATTATCATTTAAAGCGTTTGTTTGCTAAAATAGGTCAATAGGTCAATATAAAATAATCTATTTTTCTAATATTTGGGGGAAGAGTTAATATTAAAATAATACATTTTAATTTAAATTGACCTACAGCCATATCCACCAAATAAACGCTTACAATTTGCAGACATGGTATCAGTAGTTTTACCATTTTAATTAAAACGCACACCTATTAAATGACAAATAATTCAGATTTCGTTTTTTACAGCTGTATGATCATATAGTGTTTTTACATTTGTACATAGAGTCTTTGTCAATGATCATATTTCACAATAAGGATTTACAAATAATATAATAAAATAGGGGGCGACACGGTGGCTCAGTGGTTAGCACTGTCACCTCGGCTCACAGCAAGAAGGTCGCCGATTCGAGTCCCGACTGGCATTTCTATGTGGAGTTTGCATGTTCTCCCAGTGTTGGCGTGGGTTTCCTCCAAGAGCTCCGGTATCCCCCACAGTCCAAACACGTGGTATAGGGGAATTATCTAAATTTGCCGTAGTGTATAACTGTATGCATGTTTCCCAGTGCTGGGTTGCAGCTGGAAGGACATCCGCTGTGTAAAACATATGCTGGAATAGTTGGCGGTTCATTCCGCTGTGTTAACTCTTGATAAATAGGGGACTAAGTCGAAGAAAAATGAATGAATGAATAAAACAGTATTTACGATCAGTTTTCACACACACACACACACACAAACACACACACAAACACACACAAATATATATCTAACACTTTTACCAACCCCAAACTTAAATAAATGCTGTTAAATATGACAGAATTTAGACGACATACAGAAATTAATAAGAGTAATTTCCACACATCAGCACACACACACACAAACACACACACACAGAATCAAGTGTGTGTTAAGCAGTGCTTATGCCTTATGTACTATTACTACTACTGAGTCAGCCACCTAAAACACACACGGTCACACATACACACAGTCATACACACTCCAATTTCCCATTCATCCCAGCTGTCCATCTCGGCCTCAAAAAAAAACGCACATGCACACACATGCACATCGACGCCCAGAGGATGCAGTAACCATAGCAACCTGCTGCTGCTTACCTGCTCTTGTATGAGCTGAAACAGAGAGCTTCTATCCATATACTGGGCCCTGGTGCACACACAGCCACCAAAAGAAGGACATAAGGGGAAACGGCACGCAGAGACACGTACACACACACGCGCACGCCGGCGGTCCGTCTGTGCGGCACGCCTCCCCAGCGGGCAGAGAGAGACCCCTCGCACGCGCACTAGTGCATCCGCAGGACGCCCTCCAATGAGGCTCAGCACAAGGTTCGATCCGGCTTAAAATCCAAAGTCCAGAGCAGAATCCATAGACCTCCTAAAATCCCCCCTCACTTTGCCTCTTTCATTAATTCTTCGCTCTCTCCACTTTATTTTGCCTTCCTCTCTAGTCGCCCGTTTTTCTAAATCTCTGCCTCTCTCTCTCTGTCCTCCACAA